ATGTTGTTTTGAAAACTGCTCAATTAGATTTTCCTAAAAGTTTTTTCCTGTGGAGAATTGATCCTTGGCTTTAAGATAAGGATACAGTAAATAGAAGTTTGAAGTTTAATCTCATTCATGATATTATCGGACGGTTAGGTAGTCACTGCTTCGTTCTGGCAGTTTAAAACTGTATGTTACTGGACTACTATTTTATACAGAGTCCTAAATTTTTTATATGAATAAGAGAAACTACCCTTTCTAAAATAATCAAAATATAGCTAAGTAATATAAGCACGAAAAGGCAGATTTCTCTGAAAACTTTATGACCCATACTAGTCATAGAACATATATTATTTAATCAGAATTATAAAGGTCTATACCACATATGTAAAAGAAAGAAACAGGTTTATATTTTCATCTATCTCAAAAATAGTATGTTTTCCAAACGTACACATTGCTTGTGTTTTACAGATGGGGAAATCTGGATTCACAGATAGACGAGCATTTCTGATTTCCATTTCTTTTTGATTTCTGATTTTTACAGGCCGCTTGTAAATGTAATTTTCATTCTTTAACATCCGTTCACTCCACAGTTAATACTTCTCTAGCACCACAGAAGACTTGAAATTAAACCACACGTCTTTCTCTGATGTGTTAAAGTGTTGGCATTAAGGATTAAAGGGCTTTATTCTCAGTATCTAGATTACTCATTGGTGCTAAGTTAGTGACATGGGGATATATTAACTCTTGGGAGCTGACAGGACACTATTTAGTAAATTGCATCGGGGCTGAGCTGCAATGATCTTAAATGCGAATTATACTTAGGTTCAAATTTATTTACAGTGAGTAATTTATTCACGGAGACAGATTTTTCATATGATTGCCTTTAGAGTTACAGTATTTGCACTGTTAACAATACATATAGATTTTTATATTCTAGAAAGTACCTTAAATTTGGCTGCAAAGATAATAAGGCCTCAAATATTTATAATGATTCTGATTTACAGAGTACTAGAGAGCAACTTGTAAGGCCAATGAAAATTATTCTTTTATCTTCATTGGTAGAGCAATTCCCACCTCGGTGTGAAGAGCAGAACCCCAAACCTGCCTCCTAGTAAAACTGATAAAATCTTAAAGGTTTTTCAAATATTCTATATAGCATGATACATGAAAACTGTAATTTATTATAATCTTTCCTTAGATTAGTTTAGGTTTGGGCAACATGGTAGCGTTTGCATCTTCTGGTGTGTGTTTTGTTTCTACCAAATTTCTCCCTAAATTTGGTAGAAATATTTCTTTTGAGTAAATAACCTAGATGATATTAATGAATAATTACTGTAAACCTTTGCTAATAGCCTGTCCTCATCAGATGCCTTTTAGAACAAAATAATTCTAGAAATCCTTTCTACATGCTGCTCTCAGCTGCTTATATCTGGACTTTTAAATATTCACCCACCAGCCTGGTTCAGAACATTGTTCTGCTGTTTGCAGGATGAGGAGACGAGTCCCACATTGCCTTTTGCGGACTGATATTTCAGACCACAGCCTTGACATCTGGCCTGTCTTTGAATGGCTTGAGATACAGCTCTTAAGAATAATCTTTATCATTCAGAATAACTCTGGACATTCTGACTTTTAGCACTAACCTCCACAGAAAGAGTTTACTTACGTGGAAATAGGGTTATATAATCTAAATTAACATCATTCCAAAGACACTCCCCTAGGCATTTCTATTATTCCCAGAGAAGAGGCCTTAGAAGCCCTTCCCTTCTTTTGCTCTTCAGTTTCTGGAAGTCAATTTTGATGAGTTTTGTATCTGCCATCTGACAGTACTGTTCTCAAACTCAACTTAATATTTTTTCTCATAAGTTTATAAGTTAGAGTTACACAAAAAGAAAATGAAATTAGTTCTTAGCACTGAACTAAAGACATTCTATTAATGGCACTGTGTTGTTTCTAACTCTTAAGTAGAAAATCTTAAAATATCAGCTATTTCTTTACCATTCACACCTCTTTAGTCACTAAATCATAGTTTTTTTCTATAGTGTTTCTGATATGAATTCCTTCCTCCCATTCTCACTGCCATCAGCCCACACCAGCACGCCAGTAATCTACTATTACTATACTATATAATTCTGATTGCTTCTTAGCTGGTACCCTTACCTCCAACACCAACCTGCTTCAATTAATCTTCTATGATGCTGAGTGAGTCTGATAATCCTAAAATTCTATTTCTATCAAGTAACCTCCACTGCTTTCAAAACTCCACAATGGCTTCTTATTCTCTATCACATGAACTCTACATGCCTTCGCACACTCTTAAAAGCTCTCAGTAATTCAGCCTAGCCTCGGTTATCTGATGTCATCCCACAGGAACCTCTGCTCCTGCAGGCTGACCTCTGTACCGTATCCCCACATATATTATTATATTCACTCTTTCACCTCTGCTTCATTTATGTGTTTCTCTCCTCTTCTACCCTCTCTTCTTTCCTCTCCGCTTATTAGTATCCCACTATTCTCCAGGGCCAAGTTCAATTTCCTTGAGGCCTTCCTTTCTCCTGTATTACCTGCTCTGAACAATTAACAGGTTATTCAGTAGCTTTCTATTCTACAAGATAATAAAAACCAGGCAAAATATATATTAATCTATGCCTAGCATTATATGCAAATACAAGATGCCCGATACTCTTTAACTCAACAATTCCCCTTCCAGGAATTTGCGCCCTCTTTAAACATTTAGCTACAAGTATGTCCACGGCAGGGGTATTTGGAAACAACTAAATGCCAACGCTCTAAACTTCTTGTGGGCAAGAGCCATACAGCATAGTTTGTATTTACACCACTATGTTTAATGGCGTGCTAAGTATATGACACATATCTTTGTGTGAGTTATCTTTCTCTATATCTCGTAATAATAGTAAGAGAGCTAAAAATAAAATCCAAATTTTCTGCTTTTCCCCCCTACTCTGATCCATATTTCTCATTAAAACCCTTTATTTTTCCAAGAAGAGAGAAAATATTTTTAATTCCATATAGCACGTAGTCAGACTAACAAGAAACTTTTTGGGTTACTGCTTACAGTGAAACGGCTGGGACAAAAGGTATTGCCGGCTGTAAAGGAACAAGTTGAAAGAGTTCATCTTACTCATAATTACTACCTTTTTGCCAAAAGTTTCCATAGGCAGTGTGCTTCTAATGCTATGTACATACACTCAAAGTCTTAAGTCATTCATATTAACCTGCCAAAAGTGCTGGTTCACTATTGTGACATGCTTACTGAGAGCAGCGATGACTTACCATCCTCAAAGCTAGCTACTGACTCCTCCTAAACCTTCTCGCTCCATCCGAACGACTGCAGGGCAGCTCCTCGATGGGACGCACGCTCTGCTTGCTCAGCTTCATATCACTCTGCTCTATTATGTGCCAGTGTCTTTGAAGGCCATAAAAAAGCCGTACTAACAATGTATAGAAATTCTGAATAGTAAGTTTCTCAGTTCTTGTACCATACAAAGTATATCCAAGTTAAATTCTAGCTATCACTATATGACCTTATATATACAGCTTTTACAGTTTAGGTCATTCTTATCATAAGAACTATTGATGATAATATATTTTATAATGAAAGGGCAAGATGAGATATTATCTATCCACTATATGAAACCCAGCATTCTATCTCTCTCTTTTCCATAGACCTGAAGACATTTAAAATCTGCAATTCTTCACTGGTCTCTCTAGAAAAAGCCTAATTGTTTTTCTAATTAATAAAAACCTTTCCCAACAATTCTAAATACTTTTTAACTCAACAATTACACTTCCAGGAATTTGAGTCCCCTGCAATAATGCAAATATGTGCAAATATTTACCTGCAAGTATGTTCATTGCAGCAGAATTATAAAATAACTCAACAGTAACAATAAAGAATTAGGTAAATGAATTATGGTACAACCATACAATAGATTTAAAGCCATTTAAATTATTTAATAAAAGATTCTGTATAATGACATAGGAAGTTATTCATAATATATAAGTGAATCAGGTTATAAAATTGTATGTACTTTATGAAAACACAGTAAAAATGCAAAGTGGCTTAGTGATCTTTTAAAAGTTTTCTAAAATTAATGTATATCACTTTTGTAATTTGCAAAAATATATGCTGTCGTTAAAAAGTAATTTAAAAATGTCTGGCCTATCTAAACAATATTATTTAATATATCTCTTGATAAAGATAAACACACGGACGTAACTACTAGAATCACCACAGGGCATTAAAAGAGAAAAATGCAACCTCTTTCTTTCTCTCCCATTCTCACTTATTTTTTGCTGAACTTTCCACAGGTTTGGGGATCCCACGAGGCTGACAGCTTAAAAGTTACATGTGGCTATAAAGTATTTATATTCAGCGTGTATATTATGTGGGTTTTATAATTTTACTTTTTTTTTTTTAAAGATTGGCACCTAGGCTAACAACTGTTGCCAATCTTTTTATTTTATTTATTTATTTATTTCAGGGATTGGCACCTGGGCTAACAACTGTTGCCAATCTCTTTTTTTTTTTCTCTGCTTTATCTCCCCAACCCCCCCCCCCCCCCCCCCGCCCCGTACACAGTTGTATATCTTAGTTGCAGGTCCTTCTAGTTGTGGGATGTGGGATGCTGCCTCAACGTGGCCTGACGAGTGGTGCCATGTCCGTGCCCAGGATCCGAACCCTGGGCTGCCAATTATATAATTTTACTTCTTAATAGCTAGAAATTTCCCAGAAAAATAAATTAAGGGGACATATGGTTCACTATTTACTTCATTGTTTTTTAACATCATAAATCAAGGCCGTACAATTTTGCTAATTAAGTATTTACAATTTTATAAAAACCATTTGAATTGAAAGAGAGACTTCCTTACAGAGCCAAGGTGATCCCAGGTACCGCATTTTCCTTTCATCTCCACACCCAGATGCAGCCAATCCAGCAGCAAGAGTTCAAACCTCTCACTGTGTTTTCATCCTGTTTGTTCTATCTTTGCAGGATATTTGCTTTGGAAGAGAAGATTTATGGCTGAAGAACTATGACTAAATAGCTTATTTGCTAAGATAAACCAAACTGAATTAGCATTAAGGTATTAAAAACTATTACCTACTGGACTACTAATTAATAAAAACAACCTTTTGTTTAAAAGAAAAAAAGTACACAAAGATCAAGTTTATAAACACTTCTACTGCTTTTTCTAGGCACATAATCACAAACTAGAATAATAATAAAAAACCTCAAGCAATTCAAGAGAAGGCAAGTTGCCTTAGTTATCACAAAACACCACAATTTAACATATAAACCTGACACTGTAGAAGAAAAAAAACTTCTCTGTCAAAAAAAAAAAAAAAAAAAACATAAGCAAAATTTTAAACAGGGAAAAACGTTCACAGTAAATATAATAAAAAGCTAATTTATTCACTACTTAAAGAGTTCTTACAAATCAGTGAAAATGGATTACCAGTTCAATACAAAAATGGGAAAAGGTCATGAACAGGTAGCTCACATAAAATGAAAATTATATTGCAAATAAAAATATAAAAAATTGCTTAACTTTATTTCTATTAAAGTAAGGCATATTAAAGTGAGATAGAATTTTTCATCTTTCAGATTGGAAGGTTAAAAACTTTGATAATACTAAATAGTGGTGAAGCTTGGGAAAACAAGCATCCTCACAGATTTTAGTTGTTGATATAAATTTTTATTTATTTCTTCTTCTGTTTTTTCTGAGTAAGATTTGTCCCGAGCTAACATCCGTTGCCAATCCTCCTCTTTTTTTGTTTGAGAAAGATCAGCTTTGAGCTAACATCTGTGCCGATCTTCCTCTATTTTGTATGTGGGTTGCCACCACAGCATGGCTGATGAGTGGTGTGGGTCCACACCCAGGATCTGAATCTGCGAACCCGGGCCACCGAAGTGGAGCATGCCAATCTAACCACTACACCATGGGGCTGGCCCCATTATAAAGAACAATTTGTAAATACTTAGAATTCAAAAGGCACACATTTGCTGAACCTTAAATTTTGTGTTTCTAAGCTTGCGTCCTATAGACCTATTAAAAGAACTAGACAAAAATGTCTTTAAGGAAGGCTGCTTACTTGTAGCATTGTTTGTAAGAGCAAATAAAAAAAAAACCCAGAAAAGCAAATCCAAATTCTTTTTTCACAGAACATGCACTCTTGTCTACAAAAGATATATGTATAAAGCAATTTTTCAAGATTCAAATGATAATTTTACAATGTTTTGTATTGGCTAGAAATTAACAATCAGCTAATTTTTTTAGCACTATCAAGAAACACTCATTTGCTTTACCCTTCGTGGGGACATCAGTATAAATTCTTATTCATGAGTAGGCAAAATGCTTCGCTTGAAACAGGAATCATATTCACAGAACTGCGAGGGAAGAGGTTTTAAGAAGAAGGCCAAAACAGCTCACATTTGGGCTCCGATGAGAACTTGATGCTCTAAAGTAATTTTAATTGTTTCTATAGTTTGTCCTCTCCGTTAGTGGCCCATCCCTCAACAGCTAGCTGAAGCCTGTAATAAAGGGGCATCTTATCCAGAGAAAACCACAAATCCCTCTTTAAAAAAATCTTTAATGTGTGGCTTTGACTTTTTCTTTTTACTTAACCCAACTAATAGGTGGTTATGCATCTCACTAAACGTAAAACTTAACTGACTTATGAGATTCCAGAAAAAAACTTTAACAACAATGGAATAAAGTTTGGGGAAAAATGATGAAAGATAAAAAGCTCCCACTTGTGACAAATACCTCATAATAAATTCAGCCTAGGCCATTAAGTTACCACATCACCTGGTATTATAAAGCAGCATATACACAGCTACTCTGACCACAGGCTTGACAGAAATATTAGCTTGGAGAGGCTAAGATTTAACAAAGTTATGAGAAATTCTATTTAAAAATATTCATCACTCTTTTGTGATTCTTCTGTCCCTAAAACGTAAACAACTTTCGATATGTCATAATCTTTCAGAGATACTATGGTAAAGAAGCCATTAGGAACATTCTCTACTATTTTCCCACTGATCCTGTCCATCAATGAGGGATAGTCAACACACCATCACAGAGGAAAGAGTGAGATCTTTCCCCTAAGTCTCAACAACGGATACAATAGGCACAAAAATAATGTCAAGTCTTCATTGGGTATCCCTCTGTTAATTTATCAGGTCCAATTACCTTCTTATGGCAAAGGAGGCTATTTTCATAAGCCTCTAACGTACAGCTTCAAAATTTAGAAAGCTCTGAAAAACCAAAAGTATTTTTATAAGTTTGCTGCAAACTCATCTAGCAGCAAAACCTGATCTAGGGTGATCAGATTTTCATATATTTGTGCTTCTCTAGAGTAAATGAAGTTGTTATGTAATAAAGAGAATACACATCGTATTACCTTTACAAAATTTGAAAAATTCTAAATTCTGAAACACATATAGCCCAAGGGCTTTAAATAGAGGATATGGATCTGATTAGGTTCTGTGCTATTTCCTTAACAGGCGAATATTGTACATATGCTATAGAGTATTCAACATTTTAAAATCTTACGGGGGGCTTGAATCTGCAACTTTAGATCATTTTTCTCCAGCATACCCTAACAGGCAATCAAAACTCTGAGCAACATAACCCACAGAGTTAATGGAACACACATGCTTTTCACAACTATGAAACCTCCGTTGACTGACCCAAGTCTGCGAGAGGCACCCTTCCTGAGAGCTCCCACAGTAGCACACACTTCTCCTATTATGGCTGCTGTTTACTTGTCAATACCCCTTGTTGATTGTAAGTTCAGCGACGGCAGGTGCTGCTGTCTTTAATTTTATCTACCAGTGATTCCCAGTGGCTAATTCAATGCTTGGTGAATAGGACATACTTGATTAAAATAATCATTGAATTGGAGAGCAGAAGAAACAAGTTTCAGCGAATTTTCTAAGTACCTTAAAATAATTCAAGGTACTTAGATATGGGCAGGCACTACTCTCATTCGACTTTCATCTTTTCATTATTTAAAGCTCTTTTTAGTTTTATTTTACCAAAATATTTTAACAGCTGTCCATTCACTGACATTTCTCTTGTGGCAATAATCACGTTTATTATTATTTCAACATATGTTTTTTAATGTTTCAGATTAATTATTACAATTCTTTGTCCTTTTAAAATAAGATTCAGTGTTTAAATACTTAGATTTGATAACATATTTTTTCTTAATTTTCATTGCTACTGAATGTTTTTTAAAAAATTATGCTTATCATCATTAACAGTATCAATACAAACAACCAGCAGAATTGAAGTACCAATAAAATTGTTATACTTTAGCATAATTCAAGTAATATTGATTACCTTTCTAATTCACCACAGCCGAGCACTTTTCTCTCTCGTTATTTTATTTTTCTCATTTTTACTAGTAGGGCTGGCTTAAATCTTGACTCAGATTCTCTGTATTCATCTTGATTTGAAAGAGGTAAAAACAGAAGCCCTCCTTCCTTGTTTCTTAAACTAGCTAGTGGCACTTTGATTTTTAAAATTCAAATTTCTAAGTAGGAAGCTGGCCAAACTGAGAGCAACACAGCCAGAGCCTGCTAACTGCCCTGTCCACGATCTATTAGTTTCTGAATATGCATGATTCTTGCTACTTAATTTTGGCTCAGGCTTTGATTTCTTTAGAAGTTTTGACCCTGTCATGACCTTTGGTTTCTTTAGACAGGATCTTGTAGATTTTCAGAGGATTGTGATGGTATCCTAAAGGTCAGATTGTGGTGGTGCATTTTCCCACAAGTGTCACTGCTCATGAAGCAATATGATTAACTGAAGGTCTTACAGACCACCAATTTTCAGCTACCTAAGGCCCAATAAAAGTAACAACTTTTAAAAAACTTTGTGAGAGGCAGTTTCTGACATGGCTCCCAGTGATTCCTGCCTCCTGGTACTCAGACCATTGTGTAGTCCACCCTCCAGTGGTGTGGACTGGACCTAGTGACTTGCTTCTAATGAAGAGAATATGGCAAAAGTGATGGGACGTCACCTCTGTGATTAGGTGACAAAAGACTGTGACTTCCATTCTGCTAACTTACTTTCTTGCCCTCTTGCTTGTTCATTCCAATGAAGTTACCTGCCATGTTGTGAGATGCTGTATGGAGAGGCCCACAAAGCAAAGAACCAAAGAAGGCCATGAGGCCTTGAGTGTGAGAGGAACTGAGGCCTTAGTCCAACAGCTCGGTAGAACTGAATCCTGACAACCATCATGGAGTCATCTGGAAAGTACCTTCTTAGTCAGATCTTGAGAGAGACCCAGAACCAGAGGTCCCAGCTAAGGTGCACTGAGATTTCCTGACCGCAGAAACTGTGAAATTATTATTATTGTTTTAAGTCACTAAATTTGGGGGTAATTTGTTACACAGCAATAGATAACTAAACTAATATAAACCTCAGAAGCAAACATTTTTTTGTCTTGGAATAAAATATAACATAAAATTATGGTTTCAAATTATAGACTTGTCAAGTTAATATGCATCCATTATATCTTTTAATATGATACAAGTTCATTACTAGCAGGAAATAGATATAGCACAGAAGAGTTCTGGCACAAAATATTGACACATATGTGTGAACGACTGAGTTTTAAAACCTAAACTGATTGTTGGCAAGATGGTTCAATGAAAACTTTTAGGAAAAATGATCTAATCTATCAGAAGGAAAAATATACTAACTAAATAGTGTTCTTAGGTCATGCCTGGTACTGTAGTCATCAAACACTTCATAGGATGTTATCTGGCCTCCTCATATAGCCTAACGGTAAGGTTATTATGCAAGAGAACCGTAGGTTATCTTCTTTTCATTAGAATTTTTTTACAATAAGTATAAGTAATACAAATCCCATATATTTCCTTAAAAGGATCTATGAACAATTTGAAGGATTACCTACTATAAGTGTAAGTCCTTCTTTGAGAAACTAAGATATTAATAAGGATATCTACTTGGATGTCTTGTATAGTACTCAAATTAAACTTGTTAAAAATGTCTTTCCATTTCAGCTCTGTTCTTCTTCTAGTCTTCCCAATCTCAATAAATGGTATTTCCATCTATCAGGTTGCTCAAGACAAAAATTTGGGAGTTCTCCTTGATAGCCCTTATCCCACCCAGGAAGTCTGCTGCCTGGATGCCACGTAGATCTCAAGTCCCACTATTCTTCTCCATCTCCAAAGACTCTCCCCTGGTCCACGTCACAATTTCTCACCAGTGCTCCTCCTTCCTGAAGAGTCTCTTCACTTCTAGTTTTGTCTCATTCCAGTTTATCCTCCACACAGCAGTCAGAGTTAATCTTTTGAAAATGCAAATCAGAACATGTCCCCTGATTAAAATCTATCAACGACTTCCGCAGCTTGTAAGATAAAGTTAAAAAATGGAAACTAACAAACAAAAACCTTAACAAGGCTTCCAAGGTTCTTCAAGATCTGACTCTGTGTACTACTCCACCCTCCTTTTTTGTTCCAAGCTGTCCTCTGGCCGCAGGATCTTCCTTCAGTTTCTCCAGTGTGCCAAGTTCTCTGCTTTGGCTTTCCCATGGGAGGTTTTTTCCCCTGGCTGATTCCTATTTATATTTCTGGTCCCAGACTCTTCCCTTAATGCAAATCTAAATTAGATCTCCCTGTTATTTTCTCTTATAGCTCGTAGGAATTTTTTCTCACTGCATCAAACACAATTTGTGTGAATATTTGATACTTGTCTCTCCTGAAAGAACGTTTGCTTCATGAGGTCAAGGCACAGTTTGATGTTCCCCAGTGCCTGACATAGTGCCTGAATAAAGACATGAATAAAATCGTTTAAGATCCTGCTTGTTGTAATTACAGTTGGGAAAATATTTAAATCATGGCTTTTCATCCACTGGGAATTATCTCTTTCATCTTTTTTATTTAGAATGAAACATATTTGCTTCTGAGATCTGAAAAAAAGTCTCATATTTATATTTGGCATGGCTATTATAACTCATCTATGTACTTCCTCAACCAACCCAACTGTAATGATTTATACTTAGTTTTTCACTTTACAACAACTAATTAGGACATCTACATCAACCAATTATAAATACAACCAACCACTTTCCACCATTCAAAAAGGTTATTTCTGAAAACGATAAAATCTATCAGGAAAACAGTTTTCACAGCTATGTTTTATCATGGAAGTACAGTCTCATTAAAGAATTAGGCAGCCAGACAGGTTAGCTATTTAAGACTTGGTCAAATGGTTTTTTTTTTTTGAGGAAGATTAGCCCTCAGCTAACTGCTGCCAATCCTCCTCTTTTTGCTGAGGAAGACTGGCCCTGAGCTAACATCGTGCCCATCTTCTTCTTCTTTATATGTGGGACGCCTACCACAGCATGGCGTGCCAAGCGGTGCCATGTCTGCACCCGGGATCTGAACCGGCGAACCCTGGGGCTGCCGGGCTGGCCCCAGACTTGGTCAAATCTTAATAAGTAACAAAACTTTACATAAAGCAAGAATCATTTTAAAATGAGCAAGATGCCATGATCGTTAAAGTGAATTCTTTGATGCATTCAGCTTATTCCCTCCTAAACACATTTCCTTAATCAATGTAGAGTTTATTGTGTTTAAATTGTTAATAAATGTTATTTAAAAGTTTTTAATTCATCTTTGCTATCTATTATGATATAGAAAATGTATGAAACCGATATAAAATTCAATTACTAAGGATAAAGATTTTATTTATAGGCCCCAGTTTTATACCCCAAAAAATAATATGATTTATATCTATTAATTTGCTCAAAGATATCACTAATGTGTAACTCTTCAGAATAATTACTTAAAATGTATTCCTAAGATATAAACATTTTTACTGTTTTACTATTCACTGGATTTATTATTCAAAAATTATGAGCAATATTACAACCAATTTATACTACACAATAAATGATGTATTAAACGAAAATCAAATGTTTTCAGAATCAATATAATCATAACATACTTTTTTTGGACTCGTGTATTCACTTACAGTTTGCTTGTAACTGCTTCACAAAGATGGGAGTTTGTACATTACAAAAACATTTTATTGATTTACTTCTTACAGATTATAGCCAGCTATTCAGTAAACTGGTAAAGCTAGCTCTGGGGCTGGTATCACATAACAGCAAGTCGTAGAATACTTCAGAGCAAAATCGGAGTGTTAGCACAGGAAAGATAAATGGTATCAACTGGACTAGCACAGACTAATACTTAGTAAGGCCACCAACACAAACAAATCGAGTCTTCAAGAGGTACACTTTGCTCAGGATGAGAAAAATATTTATTTCGTATTTTAAAGCATACAGTCAGTTATTCTATAATAAACTATCAAATTTCCATTTTTTTGGAAAAATGTTCTCTTATTTGAAGATTTGTAAAGAAACCATTAATATTTATTTAATATGCTGCAACACATACTTTTTCCAGCAAATGATTCTTTTCTTTCAATTACTTATATCCTAATTTAACCAATTCAGGCAATTTATTTGACTTTAATATGTATTTATGGGGGGAGGTTGCTAATAAACAATGAAAGCAGTTTAAAGTGTTTTCGAGGAAATAAATGCTTCCTTAAACAATATAAAAACGTGTTAAAATTGACAAAAGGAGTAAAAAGGGTGCACAAAACTATATAATGAAATTCTCTAAAGTATCTTTTTTTCATTTTGTCTTTTAGAAATTCACAGGAAATTATGTAACCAAAGGTGGTAATGTCTGTTCTGAGTTCTACTTTTGAAGCCGAAGCATAAAAGTATTACTAAATATTTTTGCCTTTAACTTATTTATTTAGCCTTTTAAAGTGGGCTAGTTTGAGAACTTCCGAATGCATATGAATGAGCTACGGGAGGTTAACTGAAGACCAGAACCTCATGTTCAAGACTCAGTCCCTTAGCTGATTTATCATTCAGCTGAACATAGCTGCTCAACACGTTTTTTAGCATAATTATTTTTCTTTCTCAGTTGTAAACTGTTTAATTTCCACCCCTAATGGACCAGTGAATACTTAGAGGAAGCAGAAAGAACACTGATGTTGAAATATAAATTAATGACAGGCATGAAAATAAATCTGTAAATTTACCTCGATTCTCTTCCCCAGATCTCTAAATTGCATTCATTTGATCAAACTACTCACATCGCCTATTTAGTAGCTGTTACTTAAAAAACAAAGTTCAAGAGAGAAAATTTTGGAATAACAGTAATGTTTAATTTAGCTTCACATATATTGAAGTAGGGACCAAAAACCTAATGTGCTACTGGTGGAAATATTCCAGCAAATGGAGGTTTGCTGCATAATAATAAACCTCTATTGTTTCATTTTAAAAGTAAAATGTTAAGCATTCCAAATATCAGCTCACGGGCAGTTATTTAAGGTCATTTGCAGGTTACTAAATTTTAACCTACTTTCTTCTATGTATTTGGTCCCTAAACCACACTTAAAATACCATTATAAAACAATAAATTATGCTTTTTTATTATATAGCTGAAGTAAGTCAAACACCATGTGATGTTACATATTGTTAACATTAAAGGTTGTATTAAAATACAGTTTATAAAACAATCAATGCAAATTAACTTCTTTATCTTATACCAGTGCAAAAAGGATGCTTCAAACTCTCCCTAGAGAGTCTGTTTTACTATTAAAGGGATTCAACAGTCAAGAAAGATTGGGAAATGTTGTTGTAACATTGCTGAGGTTTTTGATCATTTTAAACCCAGAAAAGTTTCAATTAATGATAGAGGAAGTGAGTCACTGATTTTTATATTGCCAAGCGAAATGCAGCAAGCTAGAATAACTGGTTAGTTTTATTAAGGTATCTTATTAAGATGGCTTATTAAGCTACTCACTATTGTTTTCACAGGGCTTTAGGCTGAGACTAAACTTTAAAATGTAGGATTCTTTCCTTCCTAACTTTCATAAAAGTCATATATAATTAGCACTGAATGAAATTTTCTAATGTCAACATTTCAAATTTTGATTAACAGGGAATACAAATCAACCTTATTCAAGTTTAATTCAAAAGACTGACAACATCCTTTGGGAGACTAGTAGAGATAATATATCAATGCACCTTCAAACTTCAGACTAAGCCAGGGGCCTACAAAGTGAAAGTAATATTCAACTTATTATGCTGGCATTGTCACAGTAATTTTCTCTATCTGGTTTATCTCATTCATAAAAACCACACGTTCTCAAATGGAAATCAACATTTAGGGTCTAGAATGCAATCGGAACCATGATGGTTGATCTACACAGATGACTGAAATGAAGACAAAGCAACAGTTTATCAAAAAAGTGGTACAGGTAATGACCATGAAGAAAGACACAGACATTCAGGCAGTGGTAGACTTTCTGGACGAGATAATCAAAAACCTGGATGAGTCCCACAGGGCGGGAAGAGCCACAGGTGCGCAGCTCCATCACACCACTGTCATGCCCCAACGCAAAACACCATTCAGAAGAAACCATACAAGTTAGGGCAACTTATCATTATTATTATTTTTTGAATGAGGATAGAGTAGGGTGTTTTTTTCCTCTAGCGGTGTCCTTTTCATCTTTTATAGAGCATTCAGGGCTAGAACTCAGGTAAGGTAAAGAGGCACAAAATTCAGGTTTAAAGTTTAAGGGGTGTAAAAAAACCTCAGTAACCAAGATAAATAATATTTTAATGCAATAGTTTAAAAAATCAAAATTAACACAAAAATTCCATGATAAACAAAATATCAAAGTTTAACTAAGGAAAGGATTAGTACCTACTCTGATATTGATAAAGTCTCTAAGGTAAAATTTCTTTACATTGTAGTGAGCTTCTTTCAAAGATGAATTTTGATAAAAGGTTGACTGCTTTAGGTCTATCTGCTTCACTTACATAAGCACAGAATATTTGAGTAAGAAAAATTTCCAAAGTAAACTTGAATAATAAATCCCTAAATATTGTTCGAAGGCACCTGACATCCTAAATCCCCATGGCTAAGCCCTCTCTGATTTTTGAGCTCTAAACTCCTTGGTATATGCTAAGTAAGTTTCCCCAAACTAGACTGATGGATTCTACTGCCAAAGTAGCTTTTTTTAACTCGTTGTATGGCTGATGGACGGTCTTTGCTTGAATTAATCACACTAGGGGTCGCAAGGTGGTGATTCTCTCATTCTATCATTCTGTTTTCATCTATTAACTGCCATTCTTCTGTACAAGAGCTTCTTCCTTTTCATCCTCCATCTTTTTTTTAGTATCTTTACAGACAATGAGATGCAAAAATTAAATATTTGATAGTCAAATATAGTTCTTTTTTTTTTCGATGCACAAATGTCCCAATTTGGTCAGTGGGAACCTTTTCAAGCTGGCTTCTGTGTCCTTTTGACATGACCTTATTAGTCTTTGAGTATCTTCTTGCTTTCGGGCACAAAAAGATAGTCTAAACTCACTCTACTTTCCCCACTCCAGACTTGGACTTTGGTACCCTTTAATGGGAAATATATTTTCCATTAAACTAAAATCTGGGTGTCAGGTGTGTCCATTGCTTCTAAGGGCTTTTCAGTGGCTAGAGCTAAGAAAAAAAAATATTTTTAAAATCATGAGTTCATACTGATATTTTCAATTCAAATGTAATACTATAGTTTCTTTTTCCTAATGCCATTTATTTTACAGTGAAAATCCTGACTCCTAACAATATTTATTTACTTATTTGCTCAGTCCAACAATATACATAAAATACTTTCAAAATGTTAATAACCATTAGTACAACTAAGTATGAATATGCTAAGCAAAGTTGAAGATTTTTTGGATTTCTTTTCGTCCTTAGAATAAATGCCGCTAAGTATGTGCAGCCCGAGTACGATGATCAGAAGATATTTGAATTAATTATTTTCTCTCTGTATCTTATCATTTTGATAAGTTAGGTATATTTATTTCTATTTGTATTCACTTTCAGGGTTTGCTTTTTATATTTTTAAATTTGATTTTAATTTCTGAATATGTGAAACATATACTTGGTTCAAAAGTCAAAACTATACAAAAAGGCATAATTGGAAAACCTGCACTCCCATCCTATGCCTGCATCTTTTTCCCATCTACCTCCAATGGCAACCAGTGCCATTAGTTTCTGGTTTATCCTTCCTGTGCTTTTTATTCTTATTTTTCACATAAAAGGTAGCATATTATTAGTACTTGATTTTTTGTTAGCAATATGTCCTGAAATCATCCACTGTCAGTTTATAGCCATCTTCCTTACTCTTTGTCTTTTAATAGTTGCATCGTATTCCACTGTGTCAATGTACTATAGTTTATTCAACTATTCTCCTACTTGGGTCATTTCCGTTTGCTGTTAAAAATACTACTGTAATTCTTGTGTTGTTTAATATTCACAGACGTATAGATTCAGGACGGATTCCTAGAAGTGATTTTCCTTAGTCAGAGTTAATACACACGTAATTTTGTCAGATATCATCAAATTCTCCTCCACAGGGCTTTTTACCATTTTGCATTCTCACCACTAGCGTACTGAGAGTGTAAAGAGTCCTCTTCACTTCCAGTTTCCACGGTCTATGTGAAGAATCTCCTTCTCAAGCTTACATGGCATTTACCTTCTGTCTCTGAGCTAAAATACTATTTTTCTCACTTACTATCTCTGGTTCAAAAAAGGTGGTTATAACTTTTTATTTAAAATGTATATTATAAGTAGAAGACATTCTTCAGTCAATGGCTTACATTTATAGAGTACATCATACTTTTCTAAGTGCTTTTATGCACATGCATCTTATTTGATCCTCACAGCCATGTTTTGAAGTAGACAGGGCAAGTATACCAGCTCCATCTTCCAGATGAGGAAACTGAGAAGAAACACAATTTGATGATTTGTACATAGCCAGTTAGTTCACTGATATTTCTACTAGATACGAAGTTGCCTCCCCTTTATCTTTCAATTGTAGTATTTTAATTTATTATATGTTAGTGTCTCTTACTAGAGAAAAGTATTAGGAATAGACACTTATGATATTTACTTCACAAATAGTAGAAACATGAAAGCTGGTAACAAGCCATTTTGAGTTCATATGTTAAGCTTATTTTGGATAACAGAGGTTAATTTGTTTGGTGTTAGCTCAAGAATTTTACATACTATAAAGTGCTAACCAAATCTAACAATAAAATTTATTCTGGAAAGAGATATCATATTTTAACTTAAAGTAAGAGATATCATATTTTAACTTAAAGTAATATTTAGTTATGTAAACCTAAGTAACAAGTTACATACAGTGAATTACCTTTTAATATATGAACAATTATTATGAATTTCTAAAATCTCAGAAAATCAAATGCAAAGTAGCAAAAATATAATTTCAAGACTGCACTGAAGTTCAAGGGCTTCCTTTGTACTAAAAAACGTATCTTTGCATTCTCTGCAAAGGTAAGAAAAAAAGTTCTATTCCAAGTGTAAAATATTTTGGCCTAAATTTTTAATTAGATTGATTCATCCTTGAGAATCACAACATATATTTATCCTATCAAGTGAGCTTCAAGAAAATATTAAAGAATGACATTAACAAACATTATAAATTAAGAGTCCTCCAACAGAAGCAATGAAATCAATGAGAGCATATATAAACCCTGATTTTGGTCTCTTTTTCATAATGTAAACTGTTTTCCATAAATCAATCTGTACGTTAAAGATGTCATTTATTTTTGAAGTTGAAAAATAACAAAAAGACTTTAGACCCACATATAAAAGGTACTCTTTTTATCCTTTTCTGAGACAGTGACCTGTATACTCATTTAAAAATGAACACCACATCTTTATGTTATTAAATCTTTGTTTTGATCTATTAGTATTCACCAAAGTGCCATTTTATAAACCTCACACTGAACAGACGAGGCCGGAGGTGGCCATCTGCAGCTTTAGCGTCTGCGTTTGAATTGATGAAAAGAGCTTTGTGTTTTCATTGCCAAGTTTGATTCTTCCAGTCATTAGGCATTCCCCTCAGATCGCATCAATGAAGCCGTACTCTCTTACGCCCATGTGTTAAATTCTCTGCTCCTCATGGTTTCCTTTGCCAGCTCTACTCAAGAATGACTATGGGGTCTTAGCCACATTCTTCTCACAGCTGTGTTAAAAAAGAGCATCAGAAAGTCTTCCTAAAACCCATATGTGTATCTGGTCAGTCCTCTGTCAGAGGGTCACCTCACATTGTGGTGCGATTATACAGGGATTCATTCTTGTTCTTGAACTGGGCTACTCTCCCATCATTCTGGGAAGGATTAGGCCCTCCGGTCAGCAGTAGAGAACTTCTTGGAAGGATGATGTGAAATACACATAGCTCAGAAGGCAGATTAGTTTAATTTAAGGAAAATGTTTCAAGATTTTAAATGTTTACATATTATTTTTACCATTATGTAGCTTGCCAAATGGCAAATGGCAACATAAAGAGGAGCAACACGCCCTGAGGATACTGTTGTACGCGGCAAAGGAAAAAGTCAGGTGGTGATGATGTTCCAACAACTATTAGTTTGAATGGCATAATTGCCAATGCAATTAAAAAATTAAAGTTAGTAAGTTAATAAGTTCCAAAATACTGTTTACTATGCAGTTTTTGGAGTCTGATTTTTCACGTTTAGTTAATCTTTCTACAGATAACACCTAATGAAGTAATCCACAGTAGTGTTAACTATTTTTTTCTTTATATATAGGTTAAGAACTGAAGAAAAAACCTTTCTGTTGAGTTGCTCAAGAGTATATAACAATAAAAGGAAGACAGAGGATGCACTTCAGCTGCTACTATATCCTACATTGTTATAGAATCATCTTTTCTCTTTAAAAGTAAATGATCAAGAATGAAGTTTATGTCTGGACAATGTTTACGATTTCACCATCAAACAAAGTTACACTGAAATAGGCAAAGATTCTTTCATTCTATATTTATCAAGGGCCAAATGTTCACGTGGGCAAATCCCTGAGTTTGTGGGGAGAAATAATCAAACAGGGCATCTTAGAATCCAAGTGAAATTTGTATTTCTATTTGCTCTTGGATTCAATTTAGTTTTTTTCTAATTATATTTTGGGAATAAAACCTATAATTAGTAAGGAATTGTACATCAGATTTTAGATGAGTAAACTGAGGCTCTATTAAAAGAAAACCAGGGGCCGGCTCCGTGGCCAAGCGGTTAAGTTCGCGAGCTCTGCTGCGGCGGCCCAGGTTTCGGATCCTGGGTGCGGACACGGCACTGATCGTCAGGCCACGTTGAGGCAGCGTCCCACATCCTACAACTAAAAGGACCTGCAACTAAGATATACAACTGTGTACAGGGTGGGTTTGGGGAGACAAAGCAGGGGAAAAAAAAAAAAAGATTGGCAACAGTTGTTAGCCCAGGTGCCAATCTTAAAAAAAAAAAAAAGAAAACCAGACCCTGATTTATATAAAAATGTCAACATTTTCTATGTGAACAGATAGACACATTAGATCCAGTCTCCTGTGTGTTTAAAAATAGAAAAAGCAAAAGAGGAAGTTCTGAGTGAGTTATCAAGTATAATAAGATTGAGCAACATCCAAGCAGGAATGGCAAAAACTTCAAAAATCTAATTTCTACAATAGCTTCCTCTTCCCCTTTACTACAACAAAAGTATTCTAAAGTACGCTGGTGGTTAGTCTTAAGTTACCTCGCCAAGGAAGCTCAAATCACTTTATATGTCTCATTTTTATCAATTCTAAACTATTCTCAGATAAGATGGGTGAGTTCTCCTATCTTCATGGAGGAACCCAGGAGCTATGTAGCGTGTAAGGGGTTAAACAGTAAGAACACTTTCAACTGGAGCCAAGAACAGAACCAAGGAAAAGAAACTTACTAGACGTATGGCCACTCTAAGGAACTTACATCCATATTTATGTGTGAAAATCACATCTGAATGTCGCTGAGGTATAAGAACTCCTGTTGAATTTTTTTTAGCCTCTCAAGTTCTAGTTAAAATGTACATGATTATTGTTAAGTGGATCCTATAATTTCTCTAAAATACTAGGAATTCTATCTCTGACTTCTCCTTACTCTAACACTTGAGTTAAAGAAAAACAACAAAAATTCCTACATTTTATTTAGTCTTAAACCGAAACAGTAGGGGTCTGTGTCATATTTTACTCTTTTTCTCTCCTTTCTCCCCGTTGTGCTCATCTGGAACATGTTTTACCTGTCCTGGTAGGCAGCCCAGCTCTGGGCCACCTACTGGGAGAGAAGTTCTGAAGTGAAGACGCAGATCACGTGCAAGGTGCCGTGCTGCAGTGCGATTTCTCAGTCCCTTCCCTCACGCTCTTAATGAGCTACGCCATAAAGTTAACTCTAAAAGGGAACTTATCCCCGAAAGTGCAGATTCTTAGGGTTAGAGAATTCCTTTTCTTCTTTAGCCTGGATCCTTCACTTTCCACTTCATTGGAATTTCTCAAATTTTGGGCTAGGCTCCAATTTTAATAATCCTATATCAATCTTTCCCCGGTAGAAAGGAATGATCTAGACAATGAAAACTATGTTTCTTTTTCATGTCAAAGTGAGACATTCCCTAAAGATCAAGGTGTAAGCCCAAATTCTTTAGTTTTGATAAAGAAATGAATACAATTATATATCTATCAAACATCTCTAATAAAAGTACCTCTAAAGAAACCTACTTTATGCACTCAATGGATGAGAAAGGTGATGTACCACACAAATATATAATGGATTTAAATTCTTTATAAAATACATACTTGTTTGATAGAGTGCAAGACTTGTATTTCATAAGTTAAATATGTATTTAAAAACATGCGTTATGATTTACAAATCCAGAATATTAAATTCTTAAAAAGCACATCATGTGTTCAAGCATAAAAATTAAGCACGTTTGATGCTGTACATGTTACAATCATTGCTGACTCAACCTGAGTCCATGATCTATATTCAAGTGACAATAAAGCTATATCTAATTAGATCTAGATTTAGAAGGCGCCTTTCAAAGCTGAGTGGGGTGTTCAACCGTACACAAACTATCACAAATAAATTAACTATTTGACTTATTATTTGCTGAGGTGTGTGACATATCTCACAGAGCTTTTAGGTCTCAAACACAAAGAAACATTTTGATGAGCAATTTCCAGAAAAGTTTTAAATCCTCCCATTTATTAATAATACTAATAAATCAAAGTCAACTTTCAACATTATATTAAATATTGATTTAAACCTTGTGTTGAGTTGGGAATTTATGAAACTTCTTCTTTGACTCAATCAACAAGTATTTACAAAGTGTTCACACATGTCTAATATTGCCTTGCAACTTACAGCCCAACCAAGAATTTATAGGGACAAATCACAGGTAAAGCTGGCAAGAAGCAGAATAATTTTAATGAAAAGACAGTGCAATTATAAGAAATTCACTAATGCCTTTCATATTAAACTATGTAAGAATATTTTAGCACAATTATTTTTCATTATGGGTAAAATCAGATTCTGGAGCCAACAACAAAACTAAAAAGTTTATTGAAGTCTTTTGATGAAAATCGCAGGCTTTTTTCTTCTTTTAAATAAGAAAAGCGGGCTTTTTCTTTTTTCTAAGTCAAGAAACTGTGGAAATGCTCTGTTCCCCTTCCCAGCACCCAGAGTCATCTACCCTCTTTCAGAATTCAACCTGCAAACAGATTAAGCAGCTGAGTTTGTGCAAAGTGTGTTTGCTTTACGCTAAGAACCCTTGTGTGACACTATGGCGACTCCCCTGACACCTCGAAGGGAACTACAGTTCTTACTCATCAGCAGGGAAACCAGGCTGAGAATTCACAATTTCTTTGTAACCTCAACTTCTTCATAGAAATCAGTATTTGACCAAGAGGCAGGAAAGGCTTTGCTGGCTTTACATGTTCTTCTTCTATTTTTTTTTTCTGTCAATACCACTCAAAAGACTCAGGATGCCCTATATTTCAAAAGGAAATGTTTTACACTGATCTTTGATATTTTAATTATGCAATTAAAAATTAGTAGGACACATGCAAATTTTAAGTAATTGATTTTTAAGAAAAGCACAGAAAAAGAAAACTCTAAATAGTTGATTTTTTTTTTGTTGAAAATATGTTTAAAAGTCTACAATTTTCTCCTGCATCTTTTTGTCTCATCTATTCATCATATAGTTATAGTTTATGAGGGAATTTGGATCACATCAGTGTAAATCTGGCCCACAGTGAAGATGTGACATAAGTGACTTCGCTGTAAAAGAGAGATCTTCTAACCTTATCAGCCTGCTTGTAGACACTTTCACTTTAAGTAACCATGTGTTGCTTAGGCATGCTAAGCATAGTAAGATATATTTTAAAACTCCTTAGGAGAACTTTTGTTCTAGGCCACAAGAAGCATATCTGTAGATGGAAAGACAGACGAAAAATAAAATAAAGCATAAAGAACCATAGAATTTTAAATCTCTCATGATGATAAAAACATCCTTTAATGGATTGGTGTGTCAGTTTTATCTTTAATAAATGAGAATTAAGGACGGTCCTTGGCAAAATGATTAAGAGACACTTTTTTACAAAGTTCCTGTGCTCTCAGCCTGCTCTTTAGTTCCTTCTGCCTCCACATGACTCTAAAACCCAGTGCACCAGCAAAAGAGCGATTTAAAAGCTAAGTCACAATATGCTCTTCTTGCACAAACCTACACATTTTTCAAGAGAAGTGCAGAAGGAGAGTAATGCTTAACCCAAGGGAATGGATTTCCACTGGTGAAATTCTAGGCTTTATGACACCTGGGCCAAGCAGCTATTTTTGGGCAATGATGTCTGGCACTCATTACAATTTACCCTGTAAGTGATTATCTGCCTATAAATATTGGCAGGCTTACGGATGATAATTCTGGACAGCATTCCTTTCCAGGAATACTCCTATACATTAAAATATTTAAGAAATTAGTTTTGACTCTGAAAGAAATTAAAATATAAATTTAAAATTCAACAGTTATTAGAAATAGTATATGGTCGCTCTACACCATTACTGATTTCAGCTCTCTTAAACATAATTAAACTTGAATATAATTAAACGTAATTAAAGTTGGTGGTTGTTAGAACAAGGCTTAAAGCTGATCACTGGGAAGTAAGAGATCCGAACTCTAAGGAGAGAGAAAGGAGTGGTGGTGCCAGTGAGGGGAGGTGGGCAGGACCAGCCAGAGAGGTCATCCCTTTCTGTGAAACTGGTAAGCTCTGGGTACTGGGTGGGGATAAAAATTTTTCTCTAGGGCCTAAAGCAGATCAGAGCACATCTGAAATCTTCCTGTGTATGCCTGACCCAATCTGCTTATAAACTGTCATTTTATCAAACTATTAAATTGTCCTAGTCCACTTGTTCGTAAGCATTGATGGAGCACCTACGTCACGGCAGGCGGCTGGGCGAGCACTGGCAGGAGATGGGGACACAGAGATGAACAGAACACTGTCCATGGCCTGGGAAAGCTCAGTGATGGGGAATTTTGCAGGAAGTGGAGTAGACAGGAAACAGATCTGCAGAACAATGATAACACCTAGAGGATTAAGGCCTCTAATAAAGGTATGGACTAAGTACTATGGAAACCATAAAGAATGAAAAAATAAAGGGCTATGAAATAAAATAAATCACAGGATCAACATTTAGACTGAACTTCAAGGAGTAATAAAAATTTGGCCAGGTACTAAAAGGGAGGAATATGTTCTAAAAAGAAGAAATAGCATGCGCAGAGATATTGTGGGAGGAAATGACACCAGAAAAATGGGAGAAGGCCAGTGATGGATCTCATATGTCATGCTAAGTTCTTTATACTTTAACTTGTAGGGGATGAAGGCCCCTCAGATTTTAAATAAGGAAGGACTATAACCTGATTTACGTTTGTTTTTTTTTTGGTGAGGAATATTGGCCCTGAGCTAACATCTGTTGCCAATCCTCTTTTTCCGTGAGGATGACTGTCCCTGAGCTAACGTCTGTGTCAATCTTCCTCTAGTTTGTATGTGGGACACTGCCACAGCATGGCTTGATGAGTGGTGTGTAGGTCTGTGCCTGGGATCTGAACCAGTGAGCCCCAGGCCTCTGAAGCAGAGTGCATGAACTTAATCACTATGCCACTGGGCCAGCCCTGATTTATGTTTTAGAAAAATTAACTCTGGCGGTAGGGAGGAAGACACACTTGAGAGACCTAGAGGCAGGTAAGTCAGTTTTCTGGTTATTTCAGTAGTCTAGAGGAGGGATGATGAGGGCCTGAATTAATGTGATTAACAAGTGAGGACGGGGTGGAGGGAATCGGCAGCAGACAAAAGAGGGATCGAGGGGTAAAGCGAATGTGACCAGTAAGGAAGAGTGAGGGAACAGGACAGTGCTGAGATTGCTGAGGACATTAACTGAGACAGGAAACACAGGAGAATGGGAGGGCTTTATTTTCAGGGGAGTAATTTTAACACTATGACAACACACAGAAGAGGGTGATTTAACTTTCCAGGAAGTTGGAGAAGACTTTGTAGAGAAGGGGCAATTGACCTAGTCTTGCTAGTTTGATGAATATGATACTAATAATATAATCTATTCAATGCTTATAATAAAGTGACTGGCAGTGAACTAGGCATTTTACACGCTACCCAGTTTATTCCTTACATCGACCCTGCCTGTGAAGCCAGTATTACTGTCCGAATTTTTTAACTGAGGAACTTTTGCTTCCAGGGGTTAAGCAATTTGCCCCACACCTCATAGGTAATAAGTGGAAATGCAGGGATTCAAACACAGGTCTGTCGGACTGGAGTACAAAGCCTGCCCCATCCTCCACGCTGCACTGAACCTCATGGGATGAATAAGCGCCTCAGGGGAGAAGGGGGCAAAGGCTCCAAGCAGGAGGACCGACATTTAGAAAGGCATTTAGTCTTGAAAAGGTAGAGCCCTTCTGAAGGATGAGACAGCACAGTGGGCAGTGAAATGACAAGAGAAGAAGGGACTATACCACATGCATTGTTCTAAAAGCATTACCTGTATCATCTCACCTAATTCTTAGAACATTATAAGGTAGGAGTATTATTGCCCATAACAGCACAGTACTTTAAAATACAATGTCCAAGTTCACCTACTTATGCATTCTGAATACAGAGTCTGAGATGTAAATCACTATGCTATATTGCTGAGGATATATGAGCATCTTTGCCTATGTTTTTTTTTTTTTTTTTTTAAAGATTTTATTTTTATTTATTTATTTATTTATTTATTTATTTATTTCCTTTTTCTCCCCAAAGCCCCCCGGTACATAGTTGTGCATTCTTCGTTGTGGGTTCATCTAGTTGTGGCATGCGGGACGCAGCCTCAGCGTGGTCTGATGAGCAGTGCCATGTCCGCGCCCAGGATTCGAACCAACGAAACACCGGGCCACCTGCTGCGGAGCGCGCGAACCCAACCACTCGGCCACGGGGCCAGCCCCGTTTGCCTATGTTTTTTACCATGATCATGTATTAGTTTTATAATAAAAATATAATTAGGAATGGGCCATTGAAGTTAATACTTAGGAAATGGCTGGTAATCTTAAGAAGAGCTAGCCATAGTGTACTGAGTAGCAGAGGAGTAAATGGGAACTGAAAAATTAGAGACAGTGAATATACATCAGTTATTCAATAAATTTGGCTGTGAAAGGAAAAGGGGAAGTTTGTACCATTTTAGTTGAAACTGTAATTATTGCCCAGAATACTGACATATTTACAAAAGCTCTTCAAAAATAATTGCTAATAAAAGTAATTTCAGATTATATGGAGAATACTAATACCATCTAACAAAGGCTTATAAGTTGGTTTCTTAGAAGGTTATCCTCTGAAACCCAATAAGATAGGATGATGTCCAAGTTAACTGCAATGAAGATACACTGCTCAATTGAGGGCAATTAAAAATGAAATATAGTGGATTGAACATGAAGAGGAAAGCCCGACAATATTTCACCTGGGTCTTATTGCTGGAAATCAGAATAAAAGATTTAACATTAAAATTAAAATTTAACATTTAACTTGCAAATGACACACTGTTGCACTCCCATGGATTGGCGCCTTTCCATTAAAAAGTTTTCAGTTGTCTGTGGTTTCATGTGAAGAATAGGGACAATACAGCGAGCTTTTCTAAAGGTTAAACTTATTCAATTTAAAGCATTATCTGAGAGGATATTATTTCTACTTCTTGGTATTCAGACTTATTTCTTTTAGAAAATGATAATGATAGTTGATGAGATCGACAAATAAAAAGTTGACAACATTTCCAAAGATTTTCTTGGAAATCTAATTGGTCTCTGGGAAACATTACGCTTAGGGAATTTTAGTCATGTATAGAAATTAAAGGAGTGCATGTAAAGAAAACTTTGAAATTTTTAATTATTTGTAGACTTGAAGCAAATGGAGCTAAATCAGATCCTGACTGTCAAAAGTCACTGATTTGTTATTTACAACGAATGAAATTTACCCATATATCTTGATATTCTTAGAATGTTAATGTACATTGCGAATAACTGGATACAGTTTCTGACTGAACAAAAACCTAAACTTTACACCTACAAAAAACAAAATACTTACCATAAATCACAAGTTTCAAGGTACACTGATAGTAGAGATTAATATGTATAATTCTTAACCGTTTTAAAGTGATCTTGATTACAGATTTACCTGACCTCAGCCTATTAATCAAAATATAATTTTAGGGATGTTGGGGAAATGGTTGAGATGACTTATTTTCACAAAAAGGAATGAGAAGTAAGAAATCTTCAAGTTAGCCCTACTTCATACTGTGAAACTGAAAAAAAAATTAAGGAAAAAGGTGCGTCTTAGAAATTGAAGGCAATTAGGCATGTGAATGATGTGATGTAATGCTATTAACAATACATGAAGAAGGGCTCAGTTAAAACAAGTTCTATTACATTACAGCCACTGTAGGAAATTCTGCTACAATGTTCCAGTCCCATAAGTTAACAAGTAACTTCTTTGTCTGATGAGTTACTTGTTAACATTTTGCTAGCTATCATAAGGACTGATTATGCAGCTTTATTTAAATTTTAATAAAAATGCAAAGATCACTGAAAACAAAGATAATTATGTATTGTGAAAATGTGCATTGAATACTTCAGAAGAACAACACATGAATAGCAATTTCACTCTCCCAGCGTCTATGTGCCTAGAGGTCTCAGACTGTAAGATCAAGTATGATCTCAGTTCAGGCAGCATTATCAGGAAGCTAAATAAGTGAAGTTGGTAACTTGACTGCCTCTTCCCCTTGTTAATAACTTTACCTATTACTTATGAAGCGATTTTAATAGTATGGCCTCCTTGAACTGAGGAAGATAGTACATAAAAATGGTTTGCCCTAAATAGTAACCATAATTCCCAATTAATGACTTTTTGATCCCAAATGTGGAGATGAGAGGCAAACTAAAAAAGTTCATTTGGTTCAATCTACTTTTGTCTTAAACTATTAATAAATAATAAATAATATATTATCTAGTTGCTAAAAGAAAGTGGTTTTGTTTTGTCTAGTTTCCTGCTTTTGAAATAACCCCGGATCACTTTACTTACTTCTGAGCCCTGTCCCCGGCCGCCCGGGAGGCCTCCGTGGCACGCCGCAGCTCTAACTCCATGCTTGCTCGCTCCGTCAGAGCTCGCTGCAGTTGGGCAGCCAGTTCCTCATTTTGTTGCTGAGTGATGGAAACAACGTTCTCTCTATTTTTTAAAGCTTTTTCGTAGGTGCTAAGGGTATGCTTAAACTGATCCTTCAGATTTTCTTCTTGGGATAAGGATTTGTGCAAACTGAGAAAATACAAAAATAAATAATTTAAACATAAATATGCAGGCGGAGTGACCAATAAGCTATTTCACAAAAATCTCCAGTTGGAAATATCCATTTCTAAAAAGCAATAAAGACATACTTAAATGGGTAAATTAAAATAATTTTTATATTACAACGTTATACTTGATAATTATTCCTTTTCTCTGCTTCTAGGCTCAAAGCTACCCAGACAAATGATTATCTATGCTACCAAAACATGCAAAAAGATGCTGCAAGATGTTAATTTAATTATAGCGGTGTAAATGTCACATCCAATTCTCTTTAAAAGGAACAACAGAAAATTGGAAAATACAGTATCTCTAGGTAAATAAAAGAATATAATGAGCTGACTGCAAAGAAGTGAGAAGTAAGAGAATGGGCAACAGTTTCGTGGATCCAGAGTCTTCGGCTGACCACTTGATGAGAAGGAATGAGGTCTGTACAAAGCCTGATCAACCACACACATGGCATTTCTACTTGTCACAGTTGAGATATAAATGAAGTTCAAACCACTAGTCAGACTGCACAGAAATAATATGTATTCAGATATATTTTCTTTTTGTTAATGAATCTTATGCCAAATATCTCCACTCATTAAGTCATACAGAGAAATAGCATATAAATTAAGACTAAATGAATGCAGAAGAAAATGCAGACAAACAGAATCCTAAAATGGTAAAGGTCAAATCTTTGATATGTCATTACACCTACCACCTGAGGTTATTCTGAAATGGCACCAAGCACCTCACTCAATTAAATAAAGACATTTTGAAAATATAAATATTTAATAAGGGAAATTTAAAATCCACACAGGAGATGTTCTTTTTTTATTAAATAAAATCATTTCAGTATATGCATACAAAAGAAATGTCGATGGGAGACTCGAGGTAAAACAACCTAACTATATAATACAGATTGATAATGTGAAAGAAAGTAATATAATTCTTAAAGCTGCAAAAAGCGAGTCAGTGAACTTTAGCACTGGCCGAATATCTAGTCTGATACTTTATTTGAAACTGTTCAGACTAAAGTAATTATAACTGTCTTCTTTTTGTTTAAGTAACCCATAAGGCTCTCCAGTGTGCTCTCTTTGGAGAAGTGTCACACAGAAACAGCACGCACGTGAATCAAGGACAGTTAGCATATGCATCAGCAGAAGTCATTGCAGGATCCATGTCAGCCCCCGAGAAGACAGACGGCTGCTACACTGCGGTCAGCCGATTACTACATTTGAAACAAGAGTGGTGTACAGCGCCACCCTGTAGAGAGCCAAAAAGGGTCTTTCTTCATGGTTTTCCCCTTGTTATTTATCTAACCCTTAGCTCATTTCTTCTCGGTTCTTTCCACCAATCCACACGCCTAGAGACTCCTGTCTCTGTCCCTCTTCCTACTCTTTCTGTGGCCTCTCACCCTTTCTGCATCCCTCCTGGTCCCAGGTCCAGTTTCCCTCAGTCCACCTTGTCTGTCTGCTTGAAAGATCCAAGAAAAAAAAAAATCAAAAACAAACACAAAACCTTTAAAAACTTAAGACTGTCTATGTTCTTTACATTTTAAACATTGTTACTTGCCTTTTAATTGTTACATTTTAAATTACATAAAGTGCACAAATCTAAAATATCCAGCTTGACAAAACGTAAAGCACAAAATACAAAACAAACCCAGAAGACTCGCCCCTCCCCCCAGTTGCTCCCCTCTCCCAAGGCAGTCACTATGGCCTGATTTTGACATGTTTTTCTGGCTTATTTCGCTTATCATAAGGTTTATGAGATTCACCTGGTTGCTGCATGTGGTTCACTGTTTTTTATCGCTCTGAAGTATTCCGCTACATAAATATGCCACAAGTTACTTAAGCATTCCCCTGGTGGGGTGGTGAATATTCCCACGTGTCTTTGATGGACCTAAATGCTCGTTTCTCTTTTTGTTTGTTTTTGTTTTTTCCAGCTTTATTGAGATATAACTGACATAAGTACTCATTCCGGGAGCAGAATTGCTCCATAGGGTGTATGTATGTTCAGAGTTAGTAGATGCTGCAAATGGTTTCCTCAAGTGGTCACAGCAATTTCCACTCCGCAAGCAACATACGAGATCCCGGTTGTTCCGCACGCTCCTCTAGAGTGGGGCTGCCAGCCCTTTACCTTGAACCACTCTAACAGGGGAGCAGTGATATTTCACTCTCTCAATGTTCTTTTGATGAATGTAAGTTCTTAATTTTAATGACATCCAATTTATCATTTTTTTAACGACAGTGCTTCTTGTGTCCTATTTAAAAAATCTTGCCTACCCCATTCCTTTATATTTTAATCTTGTGTGTATGGTCTCATTTAAAACTCAGTTTGTCTATGATGTCTAAAACACTATTCATTATACACTAACCAACTAAACACTAAGAATCAATGATTTAATTTTTAAAATCTCATCCTTATTAAGATCATGGTATCCCAATTTAATTCCCAAATCGTTCATCACTTCCTAATCTTCTATCATTTAATCTTTGTTTGGTCAAATTTATACCTGACTTTGATTTTTCTCTCAGATGGACATGTGACTGGGACCCTTTACTATCATTCCTAATGTCTTGGAAACCTTTAAATTCCCATCAAATGTTTCTCAAACAGAAGCAATAGCTGGAGTGATCTTTTAAAAAGACAAATTAGATAATGTCACTTAAAATCTTGTAGTAGAATCTCATTGTATTCAGAATAAATCTCTAAAAATAACAACAAATTACACACATTTTTTCTTTTGGTGAGGGAGATTTTTTTGGTGAGGAAGCTGACATCTGTTGCCAATCTTCCTCTTTTTGCTTGAGGAAGATTGTTGCTAAGCTAACATCTGTGCCAGTCTTCCTCTATTTTATATGTGGGACGCTGTCCCAGCATGGCTTGATTAGCAGTGTGTAGGTCCAAGCCCAGGATCTGAACCCACAAACCGGCGGCCACTGAAGTGGAGCATGCAAACTTAACCACTATGCCACTGGGCTGGACCCGACAAACTACATATTTTAACTTACCAAACCTCACAACAACTTATGAGAGAAGTCCTATCAATATTACATTTTTACTGATGAAGAAATTGCAACAAAGAAAAGTAAATCAATTAATCTCAACACCTAGCACAGCCAGAATCTGAACCCTCCCAGTCTTTCTCCCTCGGCTGGTCCACTCCCCCTACTTGCCATGGTACAAAGCTTGCATCAGCTGGTCTCTCTACTTCCTCATCTTTCAGCCAGACACTGGGTTTCTCAAGTACATCCAGCTTCTTCCTGCTGAGGCTTTTGCTCGGAATGCCCTCCTTCCTCTGTCTGACAAAGTCCTACTCGCCCACTGGGCCTCAGCACAAAGGCTGCTTTCTCAGACAAACCTTTTATGACTCTGCAATTGAAATTTTGTTGTTCTGTCTCATGATGCTACTCTTTTCCTTCTCAGAACTTAGAATAATTTATAGGTTTTTTTCAGTTTCATCTTGTGATTTCCTTCCCAATTCCAACATATTAATACTCCATTTACATAGCGCAATTTTCTTCAGTGGGAAGAATGCATTCCTTAAGAAGATCAATAAATCAAAATCTTTGTAATTCTAAGGAGATTGTCTTACAGGAAGAAGGTGAAGCAGAGGGCCGTAATCCCAGCATTTAGGAATCTGTAAGCATTGAAGCACGTTCGGTTTTAGCAGCGTTCTCCCTCAGAATGCTCTTCCCTAACCTGACCACGGGGCCACGTGGTTTAGCTCTCTTCACAGAGTCATAGCACCTTCAACCTCTTTTCAAACTTACTGATATTCAAAGCATTTTCCAGCAGCATCACAATTTATTGGTGCTTAAATGACACTCTATGGGAAAATATTTTGAGTTATAGTAAGAATAAACGATAAAAACAACAGCAGAAGAGCCATTAAATCACTCTCAGAAGTCCCAAAGCATGTACCCAATAGTGTGCCCCACAAGCCAGTGACACAGGGTGGTAACTATTCCTGTTTATCACAGGGTTAATGAGGTGACATCGCAAGCAAAGCTTCAATTCACTCTTCCAGTTTGGAAATTACATAATTCTTAATGAATTAAATTTTTCTAATTTAGTATAAAAAGTATCATTTAAAAATACTTTTACTTAATAATCTTTCATATTATTATAATTGTAATCCATATCAAATGAGACTGCACATTATCTCCTATGCTGCTCCCCACATTGAGTCCAACAGCAAAGAGCCAAGGTAGAAAATGCCCTTCGATGGGCGTTATACCAGCAGGTAGCATGCAGCAGGTTTCCCTTCTCTAGTGGTTTCTCAGTTTCAGTGTCTCCCGGTCTATTCCCTCATGTCTGTGGGTCTGATTAGTTTCCTGGTCCCTGACTCTCTCTACAGCCTCAGTTTAAAATATCTTGGAACTATCGGGTTTATGACTCACTTTTATGCTTTGCTGGGAGATATTTCTGTTCTCCTCACTTGTCTGCTTACCTGCTTGTTGAACTCTCTCTCAGTTGTAACGTCACACGCGGATGCAGCGTACTCTTGCACTTGGTACTTTTCCACTAATATCAAGTTTTGATGCTACTTTTCTTGGCTTCTCCTCTTGCCTCCACAATCGGGTATATTACTTAAGTCCTTCCAGGAGATCACATTGCTCACCATCCCACAATAAGTACTTACTCTTCCGCTTACACTTCATTTATTTTCAGCAACTGCTCAATCACTCGTGTGTTCTATATACACTGTTTATTTTAATTGGATAAATATTTTCCATTAAAAATTTACAGGTGAGTTACCACAGTATAGACCAATGGTTCTTAACTATGAGTAATTTTGTCCCTCAGGAGATATTTTCAGTCTGGAGACAATTTTGGTTGTCACAAGTGGAGGGGGCATGCCAGTGGCATTTAGTGGGCAGAAGCCAGAGATGCTGTTAAACATCCCACATTGCAGGGGACAGAATCCCACAACAAAGAATTATCCAGTCGAACATGTCAAGAATGCCAAACCTGGTACAGATGAAAATAAATGTCAGTTTGGACTTTGAAGAAGCAGATTCAAATTCAGTCCTGTCATTCACTCTGTATGACCCTGGGAAAAATACCCCTTTGAATATTAATTTTCTCAACTCTACAACATTGAGAAAAATTTCATGGAGTTCATATGAGAACAAAATGAGGTGATCTATCTACATGAAAATATCTTGCGCAATACCTGGCAAAGAAGAGGCCTTCATACATGCATAATTTTTAAAAGAATTTATTTCTAATTAACTTTGTCTAAAATCTTAGGCGATACTTTTTTTTGAGGAAGATTATATTAGCCCTGAGCTAACTACTGCCAGTCCTCCTCTTTTTTCTCAGGAAGCCTGGCCCTGAGCTAACATCTGTGCCCATCTTCCTCTAATTTATATGTGGGACGCCTACCACAGCATGGCGCGCCAAGCGGTGCCATGTCCGCACCCGGGATCC